AAGGACCAACTGGAAATTAAGCATACACTGACTGAAATGGAGGATATTATACAGACTCCCAACAGCAGACTAGAGGATCGCAAGAATCAAGTCAACGATTTGAAATATGAAGAAGCAAAAAACACCCAACTGGAAAAGCAAAATGAAAAAAGAATCCAAAAATACGAAGATAGTGTAAGGAGCCTCTGAGACATCCGAATTATAGGGGTACCAGAAGAAGAGAGAGAGCAAGATATTGAAAACCTATTTGAAGAAATAATGACAGAAAACTTCCCCTACCTGGTGAAAGAAATAGACTTCCAAGTCCAGGAAGCGCAGAGAACCCCAAACAAAAGGAATCCAAAGAGGACCACACCAAGACACATCATAATTAAAATGCCAAGAGCAAAAGACAAAGAGAGACTCTTAAAAGCAGCAAGAGAAAGAAAGGCAGTTACCTACAAGGGAGTACCCATACGACTGTCAGCTGATTTCTCAACAGAAACTTTGCAGGCCAGAAGGGAGTGGCAAGAAATATTCAAAGTGATGAATGCCAAGAACCTACAACCAAGATTACTTTATCCAGCAAAGCTATCATTCAGAATTGAAGGTCAGATAAAGAGCTTCACAGATAAGGAAAAGCTAAAGGAGTTCATCACCACCAAACCAGTATTATATGAAATGCTGAAAGGTATCCTTTAAGAAGAGGAAGAAGAAAATGGTAAAGATACAAACTATGAACAACATATACACATCTATCAACAAGTAAATCTAAAAATCAAGTGAATAAATAATCTGATGAACAGAAAAAAAAATCTTTATCACCTCAAAAAGAAACCCTGTACCCTTTAGTTATCACCACTCTATTCCTTCAATCTTCACTCCACCCCCAGCCATAAACAACCACTAATCTACTTTCTGTCTCTATAGATTTGCCTGGACATTTCATATAAATGGAATCATACAATATGTGGTCTTTTGTATTTGGCTTCTTTCACTTGGCATAATGTTTCCAAGGTGCATCCTTATAGCATAAGTACTCCATTCCTTTTTGTGGCTGAATAATAACCTATATTATGAGTATATCATATTTTGTTTATCCATCTGTAGTTGATTGATATTTGGATTGTTATTATAAATGAAACTGCTATAAACATTCATGTACAAGTTTATAGACCTATGTTTTTATTTCTCTTGGGTACATCATCACTAGGAGTGGACTTTCTAGGTCATAGAGTAACTCTGTTTAATCTTACGAAGAACTACCACACTGTTTTCTATAACAGCTGCGTCATTTTACATTTCCACCAGCAGTGTGTGAAGATTCCAGTTTCTCCACATCTTTACCAACACTTACTATTATCTGACTTTTAATTCTAACCATCCTAGTGGGAATGAAGTGGTATCTCATTATGATTTGAGTTGCATTTCCCTGATGGGTGAAAGGTTCTGAGTGGGTCGGGGTCGCTCACCAATGACATGAGGCTATAATGTATCGGAAGAAATTTTATTTCAAGTGCCTGGGTGCAGACCGACGGAATCCGAAACTGAAGGGGAGGCAAGACTTTTATCAGCTTCTGCTGGCTGCAGGCAGTCTCTGCTGACACACAGAGCTTGACCGGCGGTGCCAGGTGTCTCCTGGTTATTTAGGCCAGCGGTCGCCAACCGGTGGTCCGTGAGGTCCGAAAGGTTGGCGACCACTGATGTAGGCTATGCGGAGCTCAATGCTGCAAGCTTTCTGCAAGATATTTACTAAGGACAATACGTTTCCTCTGCCCTGTTTTATTCTCTTTTACCCTTTCAATGGGTAATGATGTTGATCATCTTTTCATGTATTTATTGGCCATTTGTACATCTTCTTTGGAGAAATGTCTATTCAGATCTTTGCCTGCTTTTAATTGGGTTATATAGAATATTCTTATGTGTTGCTGGATTCAGTTCACTAATATTTTGTTGAGGATTTTTGCATCCATATTCTAGTTTTCTTGTTATGCCTTTGTCTGATTTTGGTATCTGGCCTCACAGAATGAGTTTGGAATTTTTCTATTAAAAAATTGTGAAGAATTATATTAATTCTCCTTTAACTGTTTGCTAGAAGTCAGTGGTGAAGTAATCTGAGCCCAGGCCTTTCTTTTGTGCTATTTTATTATTATTATTTCAATCTCATCACTTGTTTAGGTCTTTTGAAATTATTTCTTCATGCCCTAACCGGTTTGGCTCAGTGGATAGAGCGTCGGCCTGAGGACTGGAGGGTCCCAGGTTTGATTCCGGTCAAAGGCGGGCACATATCCAGTAGCGGGTGTGCAGGAGGCAGTTAATCGATGTTTCTCTCTCATTGATGTTTCTAACTCTCTATCCCTCTCCCTTCCTCTCTGTAAAAAATCAATAAAATATATTTTAAAAAAATTATTTCTCCATGAGTCAGGTTTGGTAGTTTGTCTTTCTAGGAATTTGTCCATTTCTTCCAACTTATCTAATTTGTTGTTCACAGTATTCCTTTATAATTGTTTTAATTTTTTAAATCCTGTGTTTTTATTGATTTTTTGAGAGAGAGAAAGGGAGAGGAGGGAATGAGGTAGGGAGGGAAACATCAATCAGTTCCCTCCTGTAGGCACTGCAAAATTTCGTTGATCTTTTCAAAGAACAGGCTTTTAGTTTCATTGATTTACTCTGTTATTTTTTATTCTCTAATTCATTAGTTTCCACTCTAATCTTTATTGTTTCACTTTTTACTTGCTTTAATTTTAGTTCTGCTTTTCACAGTGTCTCAACGTGGAAGGTTAGGCTATTGATATAAGATCTTTCTTTTCTGTTAATATAGTCATATCCAACTAAAATTTCTCTCTAAGCATAGCTTTAGCTGCATCCCACAGATTTTTGTGTTGTATTTTAATTTTAATTCATCTCAAAGTGTTTTCTAATTTCCTTTGTGATTTTTTTCTTTGACCCATTAGTTATTTAGGAGAATGTTGTTTAATTTCCACATATTTATGAATTTCTAATCGTTTCTTCTGTTATTAGTTTCTAATTTAATTCCACTGTGGTCAGGGAACATGTTTTGTATTATTTCAGACCTTTTTAAACTTACTGAGACTAGTTCTATGGCCTACCTTATGATCTGTCCTATAGAATATTCTATGTGTGCTTGAGAAGACTGTATTCTGCCATAGTTGAGTGGAGTTTTCTATAGATGTGTTATGTCTGATTGGTTTACAGTGTTGTTCATATCTTCTATTTCCTTGCTGATCTGTCCAGTTGTTTTTATCTATTATTGGAAATGCAGTGTTGAAGTCTTCAACTATTCTTGTTGAATTATCTATTTCTCCTTTCAGTTCTTTTTTTTAATAATTTTTTGTTATATATTTTATTTTATTTTTAAATACATTTTATTGATTTTTTTACAGAGAGGAAGGGAGAGGGATAGAGAGTTAGAAACATCGATGAGAGAGAAACATCGATCAGCTGCCTCCTGCACACCCCCTACTGGGGATGTGCCCACAACCAAGGTACATGCCCTTGACCGGAATCGAACCTGGGACCCTTCAGTCCGCAGGCCGACACTCTATCCACTGAGCCAAACCGGTTAGGGCTCTCCTTTCAGTTCTGTCACTTTTTGCTTCATGTATTTTGGGGCTCCATTGTTGGGTGCATATATTTACTTATTATGTATTCCTGATGGATTGACCCTCTTGTCATTATAAATGTCTCTCTCTCATAACAATTTTTATCTTAAAGTCTACTTTGTCTGATATTAATATAGTCACTACAGTTCCCTTTTGGATACTGCTTGCATGGTATATCTTTTTATATCCTTTTATTTTCAACCTGTTTGCATATTTGAATCTAAATATGTCTCTTCTAGGCACTATGAGTTTGGATCATGTTTTCTTATTCATTATATCAATCTCTGCCATTCACATTTAATATAATTAATAATGAGATGGATTTCTGGCCCTGGCCGGTGTGGGTCAGTTGGTTGGAGCATCATCTCATACAGGTTGTGGGTTCAATCCCCGGTCAGGGCTTATATAGGGCCCATCGATGTTTCTCTCTCACATCAATGTTGTTGTTGTTGTTGTTCTCTCTCTCTCTTCCTTCTCTTCTCATTAAAAAATCAATTAACATATCCTTGGGTGAGGATTAAATTTTTATTTTATTTTAAAAGAAGGACTTCTGCCATTTTGCTATTTTTTATTTCTGTTAGCTGAATGCCTAACTATGCACTAGACTTTTTATATACATGATCACATTTTTATATGCATTTTATGATTGAGAAATCAAAAACTTAGAAAGGTGCAGTAGCAGCTCCAGTCAGTGGTGAAACTCAGCTATGAGCCCAGCATTTCACCATCAGCTCTTGCCTAGAAGTTTCCTCACTGGTCGTCCAGCTTCCCCTGTTGCCCTGGTTACACATGCAGCCAGAAGGACCCTCTAAAAATGTAGACCAGCCCTGGCTGGGTGGCTCAGTCCATTGGAGTGTTGTCTCATGGACCAAAAGGTTGTGGGTTCAATTCCTGATCAGGGCACATGCCTAGTTTCGGGTTCAATCCCCAGTTGGGGCATGTCCAGGAGGCAACCAACCAATGTTTCTCTCTCACATCAATGTTTCTTTCTCTCTCTCCCCTCCCTTCTCTCTCTAAAATCGCTATAAAAATAAAAATAAAAAAAACCTATCCTGAGATGAGGATTTAAAAAAAAAAGCAGATCCAATCGTAACTCCTTTGCTGATTTCCAGTGGCTCCCACCAAAGGGCATGCGGTGCTTCATAATGAGTGGCTCCTGGTTACTGAATACATTCAAACACAGGGTTGCCTCCTTCCCACCCAGGCTATTTGAGAGCTCAGAGCACTGTTGATTCAACTGTCATTTGTTGGCTTCTGCGTATATTCCAGCAAAGGCCTTGGGATAGCCAAGAGGACTTCTTGGACCATGGCAGTCATCAGAGAACTTCCATACTTTACTTGCCTTCTCCCCCAGCCACACACAACTTCATGTTTTTTTCCTCCTCTCTCCCTCTTCAGGCTATGAAGACCATGCAGGATTTGCTCACCGACATTAATTCACTCAAGGCTGCCACTGAAACCCTCAGGAAGGATGTGGACATGCTGAAGGACATGTGGAATAAGGTAGACGCTCCCCAGCATCCTCCAAGCTGGCCATGCTGCTCGGACCATTGGTGGTTGGGTGTCAGGATAAATCTAGGACGCCCATTCTTAGTCAAAGGACACAGCCATTGGGGCAGGAGATGGGGACTGACATGGTCCAGCCACTTGGCCCTTCCCACTGAATTCTCTGTGGCTTCCACCATGCTATGCTCCTCACCATGCTGTGCTCCGACACCATTTGTAAGTGACAGAGTCTTAGTTCATTCTGGCTTAGGTAAAATCAGATAATTTATTGTCTCATTTACTAAAAAGTACAGGAATGCCTTCAGGTACAGCTAGATTTAGGTGTTCATACCACATCAGTACTTCTCTCAGTGATGATTTTCCTCTGGGTTGGCTTCATATTCATGTAGGTAGGTACTCCCTACGTCTTGGCTACTCTAGGCTTATTTATGTTCCATTAACTTAGGAGAAAGAGGGCACCTCTCCCTCTTTTAGAAAGCTCTTTTTACCCTGAGACAGAGAATAAACCTAGCACGGCCTACATGCTAGCCCCTCTATAGCCCCAGGACATCAACCCAGGAGTGTTCTAACCCTTTACCATGATGTGAAAAGACATGGGATTTCTGAAGTATGAGCTCATAGTTGGGGAGTCAGAACTGGGCTCAGAAGCCAGCTCTCTGCACCCCCAGGCTAGTATTGTGGCGGCGGTTTTACAGCTTGCCTCCGAATAATACGATTGAAGGATCATCTTCAATGCACAGGTCAGTGTATACACTTGATCATCATGGCAGCTGTGAGAACTTTAATCTTGGGCGAGGTAGCTCCCATCTGAGCAGAAAGGGCATTGTCATGAAACACTAAAAAGGACCCTTGAACAAATCCATTTGAGAAGCTATGCCTCCTAACCAATCTTTTAGAGATTCTTTTTTTAAAATTCTTTGTTGTTGAAAGTATTACATATGTCTCCTTTTCCCCCATTGTCCTCTCTTTGCCTGCTTTCGCCCCCCCGCCCAGCGCATGGCCTCACCCCTCTACTGTCTTTGTGCATTGGTTATCCTTATATGCATGCATACAAGTCCTTTGGTTGATCTCTTACCACCCTCTCCCACTGTACCCTGCCTTCCCTCTGAGATTTGATGGTCTGTTTGATGCTTCTATGTCTCTGTATCTATTTTTGTTCATCAGTTTATGTTGTTCATTATATTCCACAAATGAGTGAGATCATGTAATATTTATCTTTCTCCGACTGGCTTATTTCGCTTAGCGTATTGCTCTCCAGGCTCATCCATGCTGTTGCAAATAGTAAGAGTTCTTTTTTTATTTTAATATTTTAAAAATTGATTTCAGAGAGGGAAGGGAGAGGGAGAGAGAGAGAGAAACATCAGTGATGAGGATATTAATTGGCTGCTTCCTGCACTCCTCCTACCAGGGACCGAGGTTTTACATGTGCCCTGACCGGGAATTGAACTGTGGCCTCCTGGTTCATAGGTTGATGCTCAACCATTGAGCAATACTGGCTGGGTTTGGAGGTCCTTAATGTTTTTTTGCCCATTAAAAGCTCTGAGAAGTCCTGCAGTACAAAAACGCATTGAGTGCTTTTTTAAGCCCAACATTCCCCAAACTTTTTTGCCCAGGGAACTCTTTTTGACCCCTTTCTCACTCTCTGGGAAACACTTTTTCTTCCTTCCCCAACTCTTAGTCACCTAGTGCTAAGTCCTTGTATTTGAGCAGTGGGAGAAGCAGGGCTGAGACCAGAACTGACACTCCTGATGCATGGGTTTGGCTTATTTGACAGATACACCTGGACCGCATAAACACTTTCTTGGATGACATGAAAGTGCAGAACCGGAAGATACATGTGCTGCAGCGGGATGTGGTGAGGGACTCGGTCCCATCCTCCCTCCCTGCTCCCCTGACCTCTAGGCCCAGGGGTGCCGTGCATGGGGAGGGGTCAGCAGGGGAGCACAATCTGGAAAGGCCCATTCATTTGCAAGTATAGAGGGCAGTGTGGACAAGGGAGCCACATGCAAGGGTATCACACCCTCCAGGTTCACATCCCTTATTTCCAACCCCTTCCTTCACCTCCCAGACTGCTCTCCAGAACAAGATTAGCACCATCCCCAAAGCTGACGACTTGGTACTCTGGAGCAGCCTCCACGATGCCTTGTTCATCCCGGTAAGTGAAAGAAGATGGAGGAGGAGGAAGTAGGTGTGAGGGAACAGGCAGGGTGATCGCTGAGCTGGCCTGGTGCAGCCCTGGCCACCCCAGCTCCCTTTTCCACAGGGAACTGTTCAACAGGGAGATGTTTCAGAAGAGCTGGAAGATTCTGATATGTGGAAAGTTGCAGAGAAGCTCCCAGAGCCTGAACTTCCCCAGACCACCATGTTCCTCGAAAGTTCTGGTCCCAGCCAGGTCTCAGAGGCCTTCCAACTCCCCAGGCCCTTGGAGACCGTTTGGCCTTATCCGGTCCCTGGGCAAGTACAGAAGGAGGAGTCTGCCTATGGAGTTCCTCTCACAGGGGCCCAGGGGTTGGGCCAGTCTCAGGTGCTTGAGCCTGAGCCAGCACCCAAACCTAGCCCTGAGCCTGAGTCCATGCCTGGCCTTGAGCCCATACAACAGCCCAGTCTGGCACCTGGGTTCATAGTACCACCTTGGCCTAGGTTCAGACCGAAGACTATGGCCAGACCTGGGCCTGCATATGGACCTGGGCTTGCATTTGCACTTAGACCTGCCCTCAGACCTGGGTTTGTCCCTAGACCTGGGCCTGCCCCTGGACCTGGGCCTATATATGGACCTGGACCTGGGTATGGACCTGGGTATGGACCTGAGACTCCATATGGACCTGGGCCTATATATGGACCTGGACCTGGGTATGGACCTGGGCCTGCCCCCGGACCAGGGCCTGCCCCCGGACCAGGGCCTGCCCCTGAACCCATGCCCCCTGGGCCTGCCCCTGGACCTGGGTATGGACCTGGGCCTGCCCCCGGACCAGGGCGTGCCCCTGAACCCATGCCCCCTGGGCCTGCCCCTGGACCTGGGCCTATATATGGACCTGGACGTGGGTATGGACCTGAGACTCCATATGGACCTGGGCCTATGTATGGACCCGGGCCTATGTATGGACCTGGGCCTGCCCCCGGACCAGGGCCTGGGCCTGAGTTTGGACCTGGGCTTGCCCCAGGCCCTTGGCCCACACCACCAAGATTCTGGCCTATGCCATCAACAGGTGGGCTTCCTCCCAGAGGCTTGCCTGACTATAGCAGTTGGCCTTTCTGGGGCTTAGGTCACTTTCAGCCTGGCCCAGGCCAATTGGACTCCCAGGGTTTCAGGGCCCCACCACCAGCCATAGAGCCTGGCTCAGCCTGGCCTCATACACTGGAGTCACAGGAAGAGATGCCCCAGCTCCCATCTCTCTCAGAAGGTACGGAAGAAGATTATTTACAGTACAAGACAGACACTCAGGATGGAGCCCCTGCTCCTCAAACCTCTGAAGAAGGACCCCCTAAGAGTGCCCGGACCGCCCTCCGGCGGATGAAAACTACTGCTGCCATTGCCGCTGCTGCCGCCGCTGCCTATGCGGCTGCTGCCTCGAGCTCAGCAGCCCGGGCAGCTGAGTCCTCAGCCCTGGTCGTCAAGGATGCCCCCGCCACTAAACTGGCCTCTGTAGCAACAAGCGTGGCTGCATCTGGACCCTTAGGGATCTTTGCAGATGTTATGGGTGCTGGGTCTTCCCGTGGGGCCATACCCTCCGTGTCAATCACCGATGAGGCCGAGATGGGCTATGAAGAGTTCATCGCTTCTACCTATGCTACTCACTTCATCGCTCCTGAAACTGAGCTGTCCCAGGCCACGCTGGTCCCCAAACAGACAATAATTTCTGAAGACAAGAAGAAGGCCATCAAGTATTCCATGAGCCACAGAGCCCAGATACCCGTTAAGCACGACTCCCTGAAAGAAGAGTTTGACCAGCTGTCGTCCCACATGAAACATCACATAGCTCATCTAGGTAGGCCCAGACTGGCTCTGGGAAGTGTGGTAGGGGCTTGGGCCCTCCCCAGGGCCTTCGAGCAGCACCTCCTCTCCTTTTGCTTAACTGCTCCCAACAAAATCTACATTCAGCCACTCGCCATTCATTACTTTGGTGTAAGCATTAGCCTCTTACTAGTCTAGTCTATTCTTTACAATGAATGTACAGTGAGGTCTTATCTTAGGAGAGAGGGGCAGTTATAGGCTAAAGTTGGTGCTTAACACGTTAAGCGCCCAGTCACCGGTGACTGACACTATACTTTCCGTCCGGAAGACAAAATAGACTGGGCGCTTAATGTGTTAAAGAGGAAAATTGCATGTCAAAATTAGTCTTGAAAATCTCCCTTTCAACAGCCCATAAGACACAGTGTTTTGGTAAGTCCAGATCCCCAGAGTGTCCAACAACACTGAACAGCCCCCAGATGAAGCAGTCAATTTGGGATTAAGAACAACTGCCTGGTACACATATGGATCCTTAAACACCACAGTCACATTCTAGGTGTCAGTGGGACCAGTACATTTATGCTCCCATTTCACGCCCATGATGGGCATATGCGCAGTGATGACAGAGGGGCACAGGGGCCTACTCTAGCAGTTCTCACCCTTGAGCTCACCTCAACACCCCCTGAGGGGGCGTGGTGCAGCACAGACTGTGGGGCCCACCCCAAGAGTTTCTGACTAAGGCGACTGAGAGGGGCGCAATCATGTGCATTTCGAACCCTTCCTGGGGCAATGCTGCTGGCCTGGGGACCGCCTCTGAGACCCATTTCCCGCCCTCTGTAAACCATTACCTTGCTGTTCTGCTCTCTGCCAAGTACAATAGTTGAATTAATCTAAGTCCAACCCATGTGTGGCACCACCCCAATGGGCAGTGCTGTTCACAAATCTTAAAAAGAAAAAGGAGAACATCACATAGTTACAAAGAACCACATTGATATCAGTGAACACTGGGGCATGGCTAAGGTTCTGAATTTAATTTTAAATGTAAAGCCATCGTGGCCCAAATTCTACCTCTGACCAGCTGTTATTTTAAGGAAACTATAGTTAGGTTATAAACGTGTCTTGGCTGTAACTTTCATACATTCATAGTTCTGTCCTGTACATTCGTTTTTGACCTCTCATCTGGAACTGGATACAGCGTATCTATTTTTTTATTACCCCCCTCCTCTTTTGTTAAATCTTTCTTTTTATTTTGTGGTGAATAACATACTTCTAAATAAGGTATTTCATAGTTTTGCTCAGGGTCATTTTGGGGAGGGGAGTAAATTCCAGAGAGTTTTCCCTAGGCCTGCTCTAATATGATAACCTGGAGACACTTGGAATGGGGCGAGTTCAAGTTCAGATGTGCTCTAAGTGTGAAGTGCACAGTGGACATTGAAAGCTTAGTACAGAAACAAGAATGCAAAATATCTCATTAATAATTTTTATTACATACTTAAATGATACTATTTAGATATATTGGGTTAAATAAAATATTTTATTAAAATTAATGCACACATTGCCTAGCCGGCATGGCTCAGTGGTTGAGCATCGACCTGTGCACCAGGAGGTCACTTCGATTCCTGGTCAGGGCACATGCCCGGGTGGTGGGCTTGATCCCCAGTGTGGGGTAAGCAGGAGGCAGCCGATCAATTATTCTCTCTCATCATTGATATTTCTCTCTCTCTTCCTCTCCTTTCCTCTCTGAAATCAATAAAAATGTAAAAACAAAAAAAAAAAAATCCCAAACCAAAACATTATTTAAAAATAAATAAACAAAAAATAAAATTAATGCACAATGCACACACAAAACAAATAAAAAAAACTATGTATGTCACTTGCATCTTTTTAGATTTTTTAAATGTGACTACTATAAAAAAAAATGTGACTTCTAGAAAATTTTAAATGACCCCCACCTCACAGCACAGTATTGCTCTGTTGGACAGCACCGCCTCAGACATTTCATAACAGAAGCAGGTGAAGGTCTAAACAAAGCCTCTTTCTCCATCCCTGCCCCCAACGGCCACCCCTCCTTTGCTTTCAGCTGAGAGGGGAAGCGCTTCCAGGTTTGGGATGACACTGGACATACTGCAAGAAAAGATTGGCAACCTCCAGAAATCCAGGTTACAGGTCAGTGTCCTGGGCAGAAAGCTTTTATTAAGACGCCCCATCCGCAAGCTGATGGCAGACTCTATGACCCAGAACCAGATGGAGCATTTGTCCTCCAGCTGAACGGAGGCCTGGGGCAGCGAGGGGCTGAGAAGGCAGCTGCAGCCCCTCATACTGCTCCAGCTGGTGCCGGGTCCCAGGCTGTGGGGAAGAGTCCCAGAGTTGTTAAGATGGCAGGTTGCGGGGAGGGAAAGATGGCAGGTTTGTGGGGAGAGGGGCGGGCGGCAGATGGCAGGTTGGAGTTATACTGGTCTGGAACACCCTTCAAGCCCCATTTCACCCATGGTGGCCTCAGGGGCAGAGGCCTTGAATGCCTGTGTCTCCCCCTTTTAGGAGGAGGAACTCGAGAAAGTTTGGGGCCACCAAATAGCAGCGATGAAGGATCACCACATCGTTCTGGACAGGGCAGTGGAAAAGATCTATAATCGCCTGGAGGAGTTTAAGGTTCGGAGGTCTGGGTGGTCCCTGGCGGCCAGCTGAGGGGATAATTATGGGGATATTTAGACCTTCTCCACGGTTTCACAGATGTACCTAAGGCAGGGGAACCAGTGGACATTTTACTGGCATTTTCCTGTGTGTAAATTATACTTCAATTAGAAACAAACAAATCCCGCCCTCTCCCACAAGCACGCACACATCTATAATAATAAAAGTGTAATATGCTAATTAGACCAGACATCCTTCCTTCCAGACAAAGCCACAGTGGGCGGGGACCACGGTAGAGGCAGCAGAGGCCCCTGGCCGTTGGTGGGGGAAGGGGGGAGCCTGCAGTGGCAGGGGGCGGGGCCAAGGCCCTTGGACGAATTTCGTGCATAAGGTCTCTAGAATAACAGAAGGGCCTAGCGAGCCCCATGGTCGGCAAACTGCGGCTCGAGAGCCACATGCGGCTCTTTGGCCCCTTGAGTGTGGCTCTTCCACAAAATACCACGTGTGGGTGCACACGTACAGTGTGATTGAAACTTCATGGCCCATGCACAGAAGTCGGTTTTTGGCCTGGGCGAGTCTATTTTGAAGAAGTACTGTTGATATTTGGCTCTGTTGACTAATGAGTTTGCTGACCACTGGCCTAGACAGTGTCCCTCTCTTTTTTTTTTAATTGATTTCAGAGAGGAAGGGAGAGGGAGAGAGAGATAGAAACATCAATGATGAGAGAGACTCATTGATCGGCTGCCTCCTGCACACCCCCTACTGAGGACCGAGCCTGCAACCCTGGCATGTGCCTTAACTGGAATCAAACCCAGGACCCTTCAGTCCACAGGCTGACACTCTATCCACTCAGCCAAACCAGCTAGGGCAACAGTGTCCCTCTTGTTAACCACTGGGTCACCCACCTCTAGAAGGATGCCTGGCATAGAGTGAAGGCTCAAAATGTGCTGAAAGAATCAAATGAATCAGAGGATTTCTTGCACCAACTGTTACATTCATAACTTTCCCCCTAAACAACCTTCTTTCTGACCGAACAGTGCCAAGAGGCCTTTCTGGAACAGCGGAGTTGCTGACATGGAAAGTATGGGAATGATACAGAACCCTTACCAGGGGCTCACTCCACCAGACACATTCTCCATGAGCCTGATGGGTTCTGACTGCTGAGCTGGACCTCAGGACCAGTCCAGTCTGTGACTTGTCCCAGACATTTGGAGAAGTCATTCCCAAAGTAGAAAGAGAAAAAATTCCAAACACAACCAACTGGGGTGGTTTCCATGGGAGCTTCTGATTACCAGTCAGGGGGCTATTGGTGGGATGCGTTAGGATGCAGGGGGCAAAAGGGAGAGGACCCACACAGGGCAACTCAGAAAAAGAAATCATACACGGGGAGCCAGTTCCCCGCTTAAGTGCAGGTGGGAGGGATAGGTTCTGGACTGAGTGTGGACAGAGGAGACTAGGGTAATAGGATCAGACCTTGTGAGTACCCAGATCAGTAACATCAGCTCCTGACAACGCTGGGCCCTCTTTTTGTCACTGCTTCAAAGAGGCCAGATTGCCATGTCCTAAGGATATATTGATGCCCTTCCTCAATGGAGATGAGCCAGTTCATTCAACATGTCTGATGTGTACCCAGCACTATGCCCTGCCCTGCACGAGGGGAGGAAGGGTCATAATATCTGTCTCCAAGTAGTCATTGCTTATTGAGAGAAACTCCAGAGGATGAGGCCCAACCAAACAGCACCAGATGGAGCAAGGCAGTCTTTGTCTTGACTACCTTCTTGTCCTGTGTGCCAACAAGAAAAAATTAATTGCTTATAAAAGTTAACCCTTGAAGGACCTGGAAGAGCAGGGCTTGGTATACAACACATATTTCATTAAATATGTCTTAAATGAACATGTGCAAGAGATCAGCAGCCCCTGTTGAGTCCTTCCAGTAGAGAAATTAGGGCATACAGACACATCTGGGATAGGTGTTACTGCTTTACCTGGATGTCTGCGAGAAAGTGTTATGAACATGACAGGTGATGTTCTTTATTCATTGAATCATTCAGCCAATCTTACTGAGCCTTCACTCTGCACCAGGCACCCTTCCAAGGCCTGGTGATGCAGCAGTCAACAAGACAGACACCATCTAGGCCAGGGGTGGGCAAACTTTTTGACTCGAGGGCCACAATGGGTTCTTAAACTGGACAGGAGGGCCGGAACAAAAGCATGGATGGAGTGTTTGTGTGAACTAATATAAATTCAAAGTAAACATCATTACATAAAAAGGTACAGTCTTTTTTTTTTTTTAGTTTTATTCATTTCAAACGGGCCGGATCCGGCCCTCGGGCCGTAGTTTGCCCACGGCTGATCTAGGCTCTTCTGTATTTGGTAGTAAACAGTGATATTGGTGATTTTAATCAAAGTATAATTTATGCACAGTAAAATGCCCAAGTTTTAAGTATAAGAGGTGAATTAATTTTTGCCTATTACACACCCACATCACTACCACCCAATCAAGATACAGCAGGAAAATAAGTGAGAACAGAACTTTTTTTTTTTTTGACTCTCTGGAAAACATTACTTCCCTTTGCAAGTGGATGTGATGGAGCTTTGCATTAATTAGAACTCAGTTCAACTGCGAATAACATGAACTCCCAGATAACTGACTGAAACAAGGTGACAGAAAAACAAGGAAGTCAGAAATGATTGGTCTAGAGCTGGTCTAGAATTCCATGGTGTGTGACTTCCATTCACAAGGTCACCTCAAGCTCCAAGGTGGCTGCTGGTCTCTAGAAATTAATTCTGCATTCAAGCCAGCCGTGAATAAGACATCTATCCACTTCTATTTTTACTCCAGTGGTCACACCAAGCTGTAAGGGAGGCTATGAAATGTAGTCATGATTCTGGGAGGTCAGATGCCAGCTAAAAGTTGGAGGTTCTGTTGCTAAGGATGAGAGGAAGACAAGATAGGAAGGAAGAAGTAGAAGCCTATTTTCTGCTTTGGAGGAAAAGTGACCTCAGCCTCTGGGGACATGGCCCAGTGGGTGTGAGGCTCTTCCCAACCAGGTCAGCGCTGCTGCCTCATAGGAGAGTTCAGTAAGTGGAGAGAGGGCAGAAGTAATGGAGAGAGTAGAGTCATGGGAAAGGGAAAGAAGGAGTTTTCCTTTGACAATGGGATACAGTATGTGATATGTAAGTGCTTGGCTGATGAATAGACGGCAGTTCTTACTGGGACCTCATTACAGATCAGAAGAGAGGAACTTGTCCTAAACATCTAAGGAGCCAAAGCATTGGTTTATGTTTTCCTGCCTTAGGTCTGCCTCCCTGTGCAGCAAAGTTGCCATGTCTGCCTCCAAGAGGACAACTTTTCCCAAGTCTCACATTTCTTCCCTTCTAATCTGGGCACCAGGCACCCAGGAGCCCAAGCCTTCCCGTGTGCCCACCCTACCTGCTGTCCACCTGGTCTCATGGTTCCTTCTTAGCACCACAGCAAGGGTAGAGGTGAGAGGTGGATATTATCCTCAGGGATTCCAGGGATGACCGACATGCCCTTTGCTTCTGTTCTTAGACTCTCCAATCTCAAATAAAAGACCTAGACGTGATCAAGGCAGACAAAAGTGCGATGGAGCAGGAGTTAAAAGAGGTGAGTGAGCAGATTCCTCTCCCCCTCCTGCTCCCTCATCCTGAGCCCCAGCTCTCCCACCCAGGGAAATGAAATCATCGAGCCAAGACAAAACCTGGCAGGGTGACTTCAGAGTCTCCCTCCACCTTGATTCACATGGAAAGGCTGGGGACACTTCTCAGAAGTTGTCCCATCAACTCCTATTTTCAGTGCTTCAGGTTAGTGACAATTTGTTATATGAACTTAAAAATCACTCACCAACTCTATCATAGGAAAACCTTAGCTTAGATCTGATGATTGTCTTTGAGCCAGCATAGACCCCAGGATTGAATTTAAGCCAAGGCTACATGTCCAGGGTCCCAAACTTGAAAAAAATTGACCAAAATGATCTGATCTCCCCCAGCTTCTCCTTGCTCCCACCCCAGCAGCTCTGCCTCTCTGAGTCCCTTCTCTCTCTAGAAAGCTGACAAGAGCATCTTGGCAGCCAAGGCAAGCCGGGTTGATCTGGACAGGGTGGCAACGGAGCTGAACGACATGATTCAGGGCATACTATTGAGGGTCGTGTCCCAAGAGGAGGACTGGAAGAAGACTGTGGAGCAGCTCAGCAAGGACATGGGCAGCAAGGTGAGTTTCCCTGTATCAGTTATCACTTGTTATGTAACAAATTACCCTGTACTTCAGCAGTTTAAACCAACAAACATTTAGTTTCTGAAGGTCAAGAATTTGAGAGCTGCTTAGCTGGATGGCTCAGGGTCTCCCATAAAGATGCTGTCATCTGAAGGTTTGACTGGGGCCAGAGGAGCCGCTTCCAAGATGGCCCCCTCACATGGCTGTGGGCAAGACTCCACACTTCCTCACCACATGAACTCCTTCTTAGGGCTGCTCAAGTGGCCTCACACCATTGCAGTTGACTTCCCCTAGAATGAGTGACCCAAGGGAGCAAGACAGATGTAGCTTCTACATTTATCAGCTAGAAATCTGTGAATAGCTTTCCTTCATCAACTTGAGCTGATTACCCTGAAATATGGTTCTTTCAGGAAAGACAGAAAAATGATGAATTGTTTCCTTTAGTGATCAGTTTTCAGGACAATATATTGATGGAAATGCCCACATCCCAAAACATGGTGGCAATTGAGAGTTTCTGTTTTTCTTTTTTTATTTCTTCTTTGTGAGTGTAACTGTGAATCATGAATTTTTATTATTTAATTCACTCAGTCAATTAAGTTACTATTTATTTTGTCACTCGCATGGTCTCATCTTTGGCCTGTGGGCTAGCTCCTGAGTCCTTTGACTTAACCTTCTGTCATCAGATAACTGTCTTGTTTTCTTAAATGACAAGAGGTCACAGGCTTATTGTCAACATTCCCTTCCTGTGACCTGAGTCAGCTATATATCCTATGGAGTCCTGGTTCCTTTTAGTGGGCATTGGTGTTTAGAGACCAGAATCTGGGTACTGGAAGGAACACTGTAAAAATTCCGAAGTCCCACTGTGGAAAACAGTCTGGCAGTTTTTTTAAAAGTTAGACATAGAATTACCATACCAGTCAGCATTTCCACTCCTAGGTATCTACCCAAAAGAAATGAAAACTTATGTCTATGTACAAACTTGTACAAGAATGTTCATAGCAGCATTATAGTTGCTAAAAAGTGAAAACAACACAAAAGTCCATCAGTGGGTGAATGGATAAACAATATATAGTTTAGCCATAAAATTAAATGTTATTCAGCCATAAAAGGGAATGCTACAACCTGAATAAGCCTTGAAAACAATATACTCAGGGAAAGAAGTCAGACAAAAAGGCCACAGGTTGTGTGATTCCATTTAAGTGAAATGTTCAAAATAGGCGAATCTATAGAGACAGAAAGTAGGTTAGTGGTTGCCTACCCCTAGAGATCTGGAGGGAAGTGAGGGGTGACTGCTAATGGGTATGAGGTTTCTTTGGGAGTGATGAAAATGTTCTAAAATTGTTGTGGTGATGATTGCACAACTCTGTGAATATATTCAAAGCCATTGAATGTATACAAGTACTTTGCACTCAGTAAATGTGTTGAATGTGTGAATATTAGTTGTCTGGGGACCATTGGGAGGAATGTTTCTCGGGCCTGCAGGCCTGTAGTTGAGCATAGGTTGGTTTTATCATTTGGAGGCAGGAACTGATGGTGTTTCTTTGCCATGGCTGCTGGGAAGTTCACTTGGCAGCTCCCCTCTAGCATTAGCGTGCGTTAGGGGTATGAACCTTAACCCAAGCTTTGTCAGGTCCCTCTCCTTAACCACCTCACTTTTTTCTGTTTAATCTTGTTAGGCTCGATGTCACTTTGCAGGTTACTGCAAATCCTTTTCTGGAGTGAAGCAGCATGTGAATTAATTGACTAAACACTCTCCCCTCCCCCCCTTTGGTTGTTCCAGCTGAACCACAAGGATTTGGACAGTCTAAAGAAAGACATAAATGAGGTCTGGCATATAGTCAACAAGCTGCTAATTGAAGGCCTCCGATTCGACCCTGACAGTGCCGCCGGCTTTAGGAAGTGAGCCCCTCCTGGGGAGGGGTGGAGCTTGTGAAGGCTGGGGGACCCTCTGTCTGGGGAGGGAACTAGAGGGGGATCCCAGGGGATTCTAGAAGCAAGAATTTCAGACCTGTGGACTTGGGGAGAGGGGGCGGTACTTCCCAGCTGGGTGTGGAAAGGGGTTGGGATGAGGCCTGAGAGCACCCAGGCACTCAGAGGTGGCAGCTCTGGCCTTGGCTGGCAGAGGGACTCAGGAGCACATCTGCTCCAAAGCCCTTTTGCCACAAATGAGGAGTTCAGAGAGGGAAGGAGACATGCAAGTAAAGCCTGGGTGGATCTGGGAACAGAGCCAGGTCCCCTACCTCCATGGAGACAGCACACCCAGACAATGAGGGTTCCTGTCCTCAGATCACCCCTCATGCCCCAAATGTCTACTGTGATGGTTAGCTTTCCAGAAGGTCTCTGGTTTTAAAGACCTCCATTATGTTTAGGGCAGGAAGATGCACTACACACACTTTTATTCCCCCCTTCTGCCCCAGGAGGCCACAAATGGGGGTCAGCAGGGGCCAGCAAAGCCAAACTGAGCAGGGCCAAGCCAGTGGGTGTAGGATATGAGGGTTAGTCCTGGCCCTGAGGCATAGACAGACCTGCAGCCTCCCCAAACACTGCCTGGGAAAGGGGCAGCACGCAGGCCTGGCTGGGGTGCCACAGCTGATGAATGGATGTCTTCCAGGAAACTGTTTGAGCGGGTGAAATGCATTTCCTGTGACCGGCCGGTGGAGATGATGACTGGCCCGTGAGTATAGTCACCAGGGGGCATCTGTGCCCGCCCTCTCTCTTCTGGACAAACAGAAAGACACACATACTCACTCTATGTGCCTGCGGTGTTCTAGAAACATCCTTTATATGCACATCCACATACATGTTTTGTAGACATCATTTCATTTGCTCCCTGTCCCTGGGCAGGCCACCATCATCCCTTCCTTTCTTCATCAGCCCTGTCTGGTGCCCACTGATCCAGGGACTGGGTCAACTCCAAAAGAAAAATAATGGAAGGAAACTATAGGGAAAAGCAAAACTTGGTGGGACTTTTTTGCATGTATTTTTATGGTCTAGTTATTTATTGAGGTGAAATTCACATAACAAAGTTAACCATTTTAAAGTGAGTGATTCAGTGGCATTTGGTTCATTTACCATAATGTGCAACCACCACTTTTAATCCCAAAATATTTTTATCGTCCCAGAAGGAAACCCCAGACCTATTAAGCAGTCACTCCTATTGCCCCCTCCCCATAGCCCCTGACAACCTTGAATCTACCTCTGTCTGTGGGTTTGCCTGTTCTGGACACTTCATAGAAATGGAATCCTACAACATGTTGTCTCTTGTGTTTGGCTTCTTCCACTGAGCATTGTTTTTGAGGTTCATCCATATTGTAGCATGTGTCAGCACTTCATTCTTTTTGTGACTGAATAATAACCCATTGTATGGATAGAGCACATATTGTTGATCCATTTATACATTGATGGACATATGGGTTGTTTCCACCTTTTAGCCTTTATGAAAACATATATTTGTTTGAACACCTGTTTCCAATTCTTTTGGATGTAAACCTGGGAGTGGAAGTGCTGGTTATATGGTAACTCTATGGTTAACTTTTTGAGGAGCCACCAAACAATACTCTAACATGGTTTAAGAGCCAGGATCTTGTAGTGCCCCGTGTTAATCAGGTCCTGGTGACCCTTGAAGCTCATCAACACCCAGTCCAAGTTCATGGAGGGGGCTGTGGAGCTTTATCCAGAATTTTTCTTTCAAACAACAGGTATCTAATTACAGTATTCTTTTTGTTAATCCTCACCCGAGGATATTTTTTCATTGATTTTTAGAGAGAGTGGAAGGGAGGAGGAGGAGGAGGAGATGGAGAGAGAGAAACATCCATGGGAGAGAGACACATCGATTGGTTGCCTCCCACACATGCCCCAACATGGGCCATGGATCAAGCCTGCAACCCAGGTACATGCCCTTGACTGGAATTGAACCTAGGATTCTTTAATCTGTGGGCCAACACTCTATCGACTGAACCAAACTGACTAGGACTATTTTTTAAATTATTTTTTTTTTGTTAATCCTCATGGGAGGATATTTTTTCCATTAATTTTTAGAGCGAGTGGAAGGGAAGGAGGGGGATGAGAGGAGTGGGGAGAAAAAGAAAAACATTGATGTGAGAGAGATACAGCTATTGGTTGCCTCCCACACACACCCTGACCAGGGTCGGGCATTGAACATGCAACCCAGGTACGTGCCCTTGACCCGGAACCACACCGAGAAGCTGTGGTGCTCAGGCCAACACTCTAACCACTGGGAACACTGGCCAGGGCTGTTTTACTTTATTTTTACTTTTATTGAGGTTGAATACACATAACATAAATTAACCATTTTAGAGAGAACAGTCCAGTGGCAGTTTGAATATTGACACTGTTGTGCAGCCACCACCTTTAGTTCCAGAATATTTCCATCACCCCAGAAGGAAACCCCTTACCCATTCACTTGTCACTCCCATTCTCCTTCCCCCCAGGCTCTGGCCACCTCCAGTCTGTGTCTGGTTTTTACTTTTATAATTGGAACAATTGTTTTTTTATGACTTAGAAAGATTTTCAGGGTTCCCCAGAGCCCTTGTAGGGCAGCCTCATTTCAGGCCAAGTTTGAGGGTGGCTTCTGGGAGGAGGTAGGAATCCAGTGCCCTCTGCTGGCCACATATGCCTTCCACCGAGCTCTTGTTCTCCAACAGACATCTCATCACCATCCGCAAAGCCCACCTGCTGTCCAGGATTCGGCCATCTAGTGCCAACAGCTATGAGTACCTGCAGCGGCAACAGATGAGGTGAGCAGACTGGGGGTCTGCCCCATGGAGGTCACTCAGGACCCAGGATCCCTGCAGAAACCTAAACTGTAGCCCCAAGATCCAAAGACTATCCCAAAGCATTGCCAGCCATCTGCAAGGGAAACACTCAGGACAGTGGCTAGGGCAACAGGCACGTGAGATGATCACAGAGGAAAGGAATGGACATATTTATTGGGCATCTATTATGAGTTGGGAAAGGGTTTCTCATTTGAATATCATAATCCCCTATGAACTAGGATGAATATGCCTACTTCCCACTTGCCTGTCTTTATTTACCCACCAGGCCCCAGGCCTGCCTGGCTGCACCACCCAGAATCAGCTGGAAGAAATTCCAGTCTTCTCTTGCAACTGGCCAGGCCTTCAGGGCCTGTCCTTAGGCTCCTCGGGGGCGGAGGGGTCTCTAGGTGGCTGCTGACCCTCCTGCTCTGCCCCAGGGAGCAGCAGCTCCAGAACCTTGGAGACCAGGACTGGCACGACGGCCCTGGGAATGATGCGAACCTCAAGCTCAAGTCATATAACTTGACAACACTCTATCCCTATGGGGACCCTGATACTTTGGACTATGATACCGTGAGTCAGGTCGCAGCCCGGGTGGTGGGTGACCCCTGGGGAGCCGTGCTCTGTCTGCTGGGCCTCTGTATACTAGAGGCTCAAAGACACTCCCTTACCTGGGCCCGGGCCCTCCAACAGGCCGAGGTGGACATCCTGGGAGTGGATGGGATCCTGTACAAGGGCCGAATGGAGAGCCAGGAAGGCACACAGCCACTGACCGGCGTGGAGAAGGAGCTGGCTGGTGAGGGGCGTCAGGCCTTCCTGGGCACCCCTGCCTGGTGTCCTGGCTTTGCTGGTCAGCATGAGCAAATGCAGGCAGGGTCCAGGGCTGGCACAATTCCTGACTGGGGCGTCCTCACACAGCCACTTGCAAAAATGGGGTCCTACTGTATGCCAGGCACTCAGCCAGGCGCCAGGGAGACACAGGGGAACAAAACAGATGGTTGTGCCCTGGAGTTTCCACATGAGTAGGAGAAGCAGACCATAAGCAGATAACCGAAGGTGAGGAAGAACAGCTGGCCTGAAGGGATGGCCCTGGTTCTAGGACAGTTGTGACAAAGTGTGCAGGTTTGGGGAAGGATGCTGATGGCCCACCCAAAGATGGGATGCTGGGCTGGTGATGGGAGAATTGTAACAAGGCACACTGGTCCAGGGAGAGGGACTGGATGCTGCCCTGAGGCCTCTGCAGAGGGACTAGGGTTTTACTGGATGAAGGGGTCAAGTGGGAGGAGAGCAGTCCAGGTGGAAAAAATAGCAGATGCAAAGGCCCTGGGGAAGCCAGGCATAGTCAGGCACTCAGAAAGGTGAGTCCACCTGAGGTGCAGAGATTGGGGTGTGATGAAGAGGATGTGGACAGACTGTGGAGGCCTGTGTTCTAATGTCAAGGATGGGCTAGGATTGGGCTGGGGGAGAGTCTGTCACACTTGTGGAATCAATGCTCTGGTTGCTGCAGTATTGAGGCCCTGGCTCCAACTGGCTTCTCCCAGGGACTCCACCATTTAGCTCCAGCACTATGCCAGCAATACCAAAGGAGTGCCTTCTCTTACTGGGCTTGTGACCGCATCTCCCCAGTCCCTGCCTCCATCTTTGCATGGCCTTCTCTCTGTTATTCTCCTCTTCTGTTTCTTTTAAGGACACGTGTTATTGGATTTAAAGCCCAGCTTAACCTAGGATGCTCTCATCTCAAGATCCTTCACTCAATTAGATCTGCAAAGACTTTTTCTCCAAATAAGGTTACATTCACAGGTCTTTTGAGGGCCACCATTCAACCTATTAAAGGCCCTCCCTCTGGTCCAGGAGGGCTGGCTACCATCTTAAACCCTATGATGTCCCTCATGGAGCAAGGATGTGGCCTGCAGGGTTAACAGCTCCTTTCCAGGTGCCTCGCAGAGGATGCTGTTGGGAGGGGACTCAGGCTGGGCTTCAGGGATCAACAGGCAGGATAATAACAATGGTGGCTAATATCCAACTGGGGAGGCATTGCAGGTAAAGGCAGCCTTGGTGGAGGGACCAGGATAACCTTACATACCTGGCCCTCAACCCCACTCACTCACCAGACAGCACTCCTCTCCCTCCAGATGAAAGGGTATGGCTCATTCATTCTCAAGACCCATAAGCAGCAAAGCAGATGGAATCATGATACCTCAACTGCTTTATCCGGCTTAAAGGCAACAAAGTCTAGCATTAAAAAACAATTAGGATCACCCTGGAGGTGTGCCCAGGTAGTTAGAGCATCGGCCTGTGCACCTAAGGGTCACAGGTTCAATTCCCAGTCAAGGCACATACCTGGGTTGCAGGTTCGATCCCTGGCCCCCGTCAGGGCTCATTCAGATGTTTCTCTCTCTCCCTCTCCTTACCATCCTTCTACTCTCTCTAAAATTCAATGGAAAAAATATCCTTGGGCCCTAGCTGGTTTGGCTCAATGGATAGATAGAGCATTGGCCTTTGGACGGAAAGGTCCCAGGTTCGATTGCGGTCAAGGGCACATGCCCGGGTTGTGGGCTTGATCCCCAGTAGGGGGCGTGCAGGAGGCAGCCAATCAATGATTCTCTATCATCATTGATGTTTCTCTCTCTCTCTCTCCCTCTCCCTTCCTCTGAAAACAATAATGTATTTAAAAAAATATATATCCTTGGGTAAGGATTAACAACAACAACAAAAATCAATTAGAAGCGTACCTGTGACCAGATCTTTTGATCAGTGTGCTCTTAGCACTCATTTATTTACTCAAAAGAACATTTAATCCAAAACAATTATTATTAAACCTCAACTAGTTGGTGTGAGTCCCTCCCTGGTCCAGCCTGGTCACAGATGCATTCATCTGTTCATCCCAACAATTTCCACTGTATCCTGCTGTGCACTTAGCCTTTGTCAGCCCCACGAGGGGTATCCAGCCAGCCTGTGGCCTGCAGATGCCTGTACTGTGGTCAGGATCTCAGGGCAGAGGAACACCTGATCTCCAGTGAGTGATGCTCCCAGCAGGAGGGCAGTGGGCATGCTGAGGCTGGTAGTCAGTAGGCTGGACTTTCAGAGAATCTCCATGGAAGGCTAAGCATGGGCAGGACTCCGGTAAGAAGCGATGGCAGGGGCACAGAGGCAGAAGGTAGAACTGAGGAAGTAGGAGACTTGTCTCCAGCCTTCACCTTCCCCACCATCTCTGGGTGAACTGCCTAACACACACCCCTGGCCAGGCCCCTCCCCAGTTCAGAGGGACTACTTTAATGAATTATCATAAACTGAGTGGCTTAAAACAACATTTTGTCTTAGTTCTTGAGGTCAGAAATCTGGAACGAGTCTTCTGGGCTAAAATCGAGTTGTCAGCAGGGCTGGTTCCTTCTGAGGCTCTGGGGAAGAATCTGTTTCCTTGCTGGTTCTACCTTCTAGAGGCCTCCTCATTCCTTGGCTTGTGGCCCCTTCTTCCATCTTCAGAGAACATCACTCTGACTTTAGCTTCCATTCTCACATCTTCTCTGACTCTGACCCTCCAGCCTCCCTCATAAGGACTCTGTAATCTAGGACTATCTCCCTGTCTCAAAATTTCTTAATTGAGTCACATCTGTAAAGTCCCTTTGCCACATAAGGTGGTGTATTCATAGATTCGGGGGATTAGGATATGGGCATCTAGGAGGGCATTGTCCTCAGAGTCCAGACTCCTTGGCTGATCTTCAGGGTCCCTTGGCCCCCTTGCCTTCTCTGTCCAATCTCATGGAACTGTTCTCTCGCTCTCTCTCAATGAGCCAAGCTATTCTTGCCTTTGGCCTCTGCCCACACTGTGTGCTCAGCCTGGAACCCCTGAAGAACCTTTCCTATTTGCCAGGGCTCCGTGTTCCCTCCCGTTGGGAAGTTTCCTGGCTTATGCAGAGGTGGGAAAGCTCAGAGAAGAGCCCAGCAGGAGCGGATATTGGGGTCAGGTAGTGAGTTTGGGTCTGGACATGTAGAGTCCAAGGTTGTGGGGGATGTCAAGGACAGTGCTGGGTCAGCAGCTGGGCTCCCTGGCCTCGCTGTGTCTCCATTTGGAACCTGTACCCTGGGTCCACATCTCTTACCTTGAAAGGAAGCAATTTGACAGTCTTGCTGGTCAGCTTGTTGGCAGGTCCCATCTCTGACTCGTGGAGGGATACAGGTGCCAACTGGGAATCAGAGTGGGAGCCAGGGAGCACCCCTCAGCCAGGCATTGGCTCTTGGGCAGAACCCACCAAGCACACAGGTGGTGGTTCTTAACTCAGGTTCGAGGGACATGACCCAAGCTATGGATCCCAGGGGCTCATGGGCAATCAAGGTGGTGCCAATTGGGTCCTTGAGGTTGTAGGCTCAAGGAATACAAGAGGCTTGGGAGGAAAGGACATTAACAGAGGAAGAAGGAAAGGAAGGGAGCAGGAAGAGACCCTCAGACAGTACACAGACTTGATGAGGTCCAGGCCAGCCCAGTGGGGAGCTTCTGAGCAGACAGCCCAGCAGATGGCCAGGCCCTGTGCTCCCGTCATTGGTTGGAAGTGCTAACAGACCCTGAAGGGATAACAGACTCCCAGCTGCTAACAGACCCCAGTACTAACAAACTCTGAGCTGCTAACAGACCCTGGGTACTAACAGACCCTGAGGTGCTAACAGACCCCAAGGTGCTAACAGGTGGAGGCTTTTCACCCCTGTGCTTCCTGCAGCTGACCACCAAGTTCTTTCTTCAAGGAGATCCGTGTGGCACCTCCTGCTGCCACATGGCCCAGGTCATTGCTAAGCCTTCAGTGTCAGGTGTGTTTCAGAAGCCGCTGGGGAAACTCAGTGTAACCAAAATAAAGTTACTGCTCCCTTAGAGTTTTTACTCCATGAGGGATGGTGAAACGTAAATGAATAAGTCATAAGTCAATGAGTAAATAAGATGAACACAGGAACAGGGGGAAGAATGACCAGGGAGAGGTCCCTGTTGAGGGGGTGTCTAAAGGACTCTCTGGGAAGGGACATTTGAGGCAGGAATTGTCAGGACATAGCTGTTCAGGCAGAAGGAACAATTGGTGTCCCGCACAGGAAGGAGCTTGGTGCCCCGTAACTCTTGCCTGTGCCCTGCCTGGCTGCCTACTGGACCTCCCCTCCCCTCTTCACCCCTCCATCTTCGCTCTCATGGCCTCTTCTGCTGCACATTCCCGTCCTCTTCTGCAGCGGCCTTTGGTCTGGATTCTGAATGGCCAGTCATAGTGGTTCTTGGGTTTAAAAGTGGAGGATGGAGCCAAACCCAAAAGACCACCTATTGTATAATCCCCCTTCTATGAAACGTCCAGCACAGACAGATCACAGCAACAGAAGGCAGATTAGCAGTTGCTAGGGGCTGGAGAAGAGGGGAGAAGAGGGAATGATGCCTCATGAGCATGGGGTTTCCTGTCGGGGTAATGAAATGTTCTGGAACTAGATGGAGATGATGATTGCACAACCTTGTGAATGAACTTAATGCCACCGAATTGTTTCCCTTAAATGGTTAATTTTATGTTATGTGAATTTTACTTAAAAAAATGCACACATGAGATGAAAGGCAGGAAGATGGGGGTGGGGGCACTATGATGGTCTGGCCCTCGGTGGAGTGGGAAGATCTAAAGAACTGCCAGACATCTAACCTGTAAGTAGTCCTGCCAACATTTCACTGTATCTTAATGCCTCCTCCCGGGTCTTAAGTTACTTTCAAAAAGCCTTTTTCTGATACCTTAGATTTAAGAAGCTCAAGGTGGGGAGGGATGGTCCTTCCATACACAAATGGGGGGTTGGGGGGGTCAGGTGTATTCGGGGGCGGGGGGGCTGGGAAATGGCAGTCCCACCAGACTGAAAAGGCCTTTGCAGGAGCTAGAGGACAGGATGGGGGCTCCAGGGAGGTGGGGGGGCAGATCTCTGGAAGGGCCGCCACCCATTCCTGTCTCTTCCCCTCTCTTTTCCACTAAGCTGTAAAGGTTCCACGTCCCCCGACTCGAAACCTATATGAGCGCTTTGGTGTCATCTGCCCCCGTGAGTACCTGTTCCCCAAGCCGCTGGCCCAACTGGGATTCTGGTTGGGTCTCTCAGTCCCAGACTGGGGCTGTCCTGCCCCACCTTGTACATCTCTCACATGCTCGGGAGTGGACCCCACCCAGCACCCAGCTCCCATTCTGGGCTCCTGCTTCACCCTTCAGTCTGGCCTCCTGGCCTGGGCACCTAGGCCGGCTGTCTTTTCCCAAGTGGCCAGTTGGCTGCAAAGGTGGGAGAAGGGAGCCCACTCATTCTCCGGTGTTTCTCTGCTGGAGCCCTGTGAGCTGTATCAGGGCATGACCACCGCCCTCCCCCAATATCCACCAGTCAGGGCTCCTTGACCAGGCTCGGGAACTGAGCTCCCCTGAGGCATATCGCCCTGTACCAGGCATTTGTGGGCACTTCACAGTGGACAAAGCGCTCTCTCCTTCTGATCTGTCCTTATCCCAGTTGGTGCCCAGAGTTACGGGGCACCAGTCCGTTTGAAAGAGGGGAGACTGAGGCACAGCGACCCTGGGCTGAGGAATGCCAGAGCCAGGACTCCTCCGGGTGCCCTGCTCCACTCCTGGTGTGCTTTACCTTGGGTCACCCCTCACCCCGGAGGTTTAGGGTGCTTGCGACTGGATGAGCCGCAATGAAGCACTTCCAGCTTAGGGTTTCTCCGCTCCTTAGTCAGGCTAGTCTCTCCCCAGAATGTTCTTAGGACAAATCACGGGTTTCTCTTGCCCCTCCCAGCCCTGCGCTCCAGTGCCAACATCCGCTCAGAGACTCCAGGCCCCCGTTCAACGACACCAGCTCACACTCCATCTCTGCCACCCTTGCCATTGCTGCCTCCGCTGATGCCACACCTGCAGGAGCCCCAGCAGGCCTCAGGGTCCATCAGGCATCCAAGGCCTCAGCGCCTCTATTCCCGAGTCAGCACGCAGACGACCTAGTAGCCCGACCACCCGTGAGCCCTGCACCCTGTGCCCCCACCATCACTTCCACTCCCCGTGCCAGCCAAGACCAGGCCCTGAGCCTGGCCTGGGGAATGTGCAGGGGCCCTGGACATAGGGGAGGGCACCTCCATAAGGGATTCATTGTGACCTAGTGGCTGTTAATCACTTTGCATATAAATACAACACAATCCTTCTTAGCCTATGTTACGTGAAGAGCACACCTTTCTAGATTGAATTTTCCACTAAACCAATCTAATCCCTTAGCCAGTTTTTTTTCCTGCTAATCCTCACCTAAAGCTATTTTCCCATGGATTGTTAGAAAGAAAGGGGTTGGTGGGGAGAGGGAGAAACATCGATGTGAGAGAGGCACATTGATTAGTTGCCTCTCACATGTGACTCCACCAGGACCGGGGACTATACCTGCAACCCAGGTACATGCCCTTGACCAGAAATTGAACCCATAATTCCTTTGTGCTCAGGCCAACACTCTAACCACTGAGAAACACTGGTCAGGGCTTCTTGACCAATTTTCAATATAGCATAGTTCAAGTGGTTTAAAAAACACTTTCCTTTTTACTTTGCTGAAATGATTTCATCAGTTTCAGTTCCAGTGTCTGCCACTGTCCATTTTCTTTGGGTGCCATTATTTCTACCAGGACCAATTTTCTCATGGGAACCAAATGTTACCACATGCGTTTTTTTTTAAATTTGTATTGATTATTTCCACCAGTAATTACTGTTATGAAGTGAATGTTTAAAGAAATTGGTTATTTGTATTTACTTCTGGCGAATCCCTGAGGGACTTGGAGCGATGCCCCTGGAATAGTCCAGGATTGCTCTGTCCCATCCAGGGCTGGGGTCCTGCACGCCTGGGAGGCGAGTCTGGTTCCCATGCTAACTGCCCATGCGCTTGGTGGAACAGAGCAAACCGGGTGGTCAGAACATTCTGAGCTGGCAGTTTAGGGGCCCTCCTCGGCTTGCAGAGCTGAGCTCACACCTGCCTGCGGGCCTGCATAGTCCACGCCTGGCTTGATTTCTTCCCATGGGTGGCTTATCCCTCCCTCTCTTCTCCCTCTGGGTTTTCACTCCCTCACTTGTCCAGTTGTGCTCTGCCCTTTGTGTACTTGATACTCTATCACATTTCATAGACGGAAAAAGTTTTCCCTCTGTGTAGTATCAGACCATGACCCTCCCCCACCACCATCCACTAGAGGCCCCTGGGAGTGAGGTGGGGTGAGCTGTTGCGGGGGGGGGGGGGGTCTTCCCTGAGTGGGGGAGGCTGGGGGACTCAAGGCTCTGCCAGGGAATTAGCGTGGAGAGTTCCCTAGACCAGGTGGCCATTGGAGCCCAGGGACACTGTGTGCCTGCCCCTTCCTAATGTCCCTCAGGCTTCCCCCCAGTTCCCTACTGGTGACCACTCCCAGCCCTGACTTCTCTTTTCTCTCTCCAAGGACTGTGTCCACATGGGGCCAAGCTCTTCCTGACCCAGGTCTATGCCGCCTGGACAGACACTGGCGCTGAAGCCCCAGCCTCCATCCACCCCCCCCCCCCCCCGCCATATCACAGATGAGTATTTTTGGCAACTCCTCCCCAGAATAAAATCTTTCACCTTTCACTTTCCTGACTGTGGATGAGGGTAACTGACCCAGTGTCTTTTGTGGAGGGTGGCTTTGCCTGCCCCACATGAGCGTGTGAACCTGCTGGTCCCTCCTTGGCCACCATGCCAGGGTCAGCCTCCCAGAGCCACTGGAACCACCGTGGCTGACCCTCAGCAGAGAATTGCAACCAACCATCCCTCCTCCGTCACACTTCCCACTGTGGCAAAGTGCCCTGAGCTGCCCCAGGCCTGTATGGTGGACAAATTAGGAGCTGTGGGCAGGGACATTGGTGTGACTTGCCCAGGTTAACAGTGAGGCCTCAGCTCTCCAGCCCCCACCCACGAGGCCATTCTTCTTGGATGCTGTACACAGGTAAGAGGGCCTGGACTTTCTCTGAGGCAAGGAAGGGAGATATGGCCTGGGCTCTGGCAAACAGGCAGCTGGAGTTCCTGGGAAAGCTCCATGCCAGCCTTGTCCCTTGAAACCCTGACATGAGGGCACCCACAGGCACCTGGGCTCGCCACTCTCTGCCCCTCATATCCATCCCCATTCGGCCCCTCAAAGCTGCCTTCTCAGCCATTTCTCAGAGTCAGTGCTCTATTTGGTTCCTGTAGCCCAGGGAGTGGAGTGAGACCTGGGAATCACTGTGTAATCAAGTTGCTTTCTGACAGAGCCCTCAATGCTCTGGAGGGTGGGAAACCGCAGTCCCAACTGCAGCCAGCCAGGAGCAATCCTGAAAGACGACAGTCCTCTCCCCCATGGGGTGGGGGAAGCTGGCCTTTGGCCTGGTCCCAGGTGGAGATGCAGGCAGAATCCTTGCAGAACTCCCCCTCCCTGATCCCAGCCCCACGGGGTGGGATCTGACGGCCTTGAAATTTGGAGGGGAGGTGCTGTGCCCACTGCCAGGGCAGCTGCCTCAGGAGGGTGACCCACCCCACCCCAGCAGGGGAAGGCGCTTGGGGAATGGACAGAACAAGGGGTGGAGTCAGCAGAATAGGCATTTCGGAGGGTCCTAGGTCCAGATTCCTCCTCTGCAAAGGGGACCACAGCCCCAGCCTGGGACACAGTGGCAGGGCCAGGCTGGACAGGGAGTAGGGTGACCCAACTGCCTGAGTGTGTGTGTGTGTGTGTGTGTGTGTGTGTGTGTGTGTGTGTGCCGGGTGGGGGTGGGTGGGGGAGCTCTGGAACTTCCGTTTTAAGACAGATAAATTGGTCATATAAGGTGGAAGTCATGTGGGGTGGCCAGTATGTAGGGCTGCATGAATGAGCCTGCAGGAAGGGAAGGAAATTCCTCTTGCCAAGCAGAGGGTCATGCCTTAAGGTGCTGCCAGAATGGAGATGCTGTGTGACCACCCTGCACCCCCAAACCCAGTCCCACAACCCACCGATGCAAGTTAAAGGGTCACTAAACATTTTCTCCTTTTCAATGACCAGGAACTCATTAACCCTAAGGTATAAACAACAACAGCAAACGTGTGTCCCAAACAAGTGGATCTGCATTGGAAAAAGCACTACCAGTCCCCAAACGCAGGCTGCCAGAGGCGGCAGTGAGGCAGTGCCTTCTGTGCAGGCACTCTGAAATCAGTCCACACTGGTCCCCGTCACCATCACCTTGGCTGGCTTGACCCCTGACTTTGTGTGGATTTAGGCAGAGACCCTCCAAACCCCCACACAATTGCCAGAGAAGGGCTTCTCTCCTCCCTCCTCCTGCTCATGGCTTCACCAGGACCCGTAGAAAATGTCCCCACCAGTATTTGCAGCTGTTATTCCCCAGATAAGAAATGGCCCCAGAAAGCAGAGCAGAACTCTGCCGACAGGCTCCCAGCACCTCCTACTGTGCCACTGACGAGGCCTCAGCCACCCTGGAAGAGGACCTAGCACCCCACCCCTAAAAGAGTGATATTCTTTTAAGGCTCATTGGAAATATATATATTGCCCAATCATAGCTGTGCCTAAGCAACCAGAGACCTTTCCAAATGTAGAAATTGGGAGACAGCTTTGCCTCAAAATATCTCCTTTTGGCCCAACCCAAGCAGCCTCCCCAACACTGACACCGGGAAGCAACTGGAGTCAAAGCCAGTCTGTCCTCAAATGAGTCCTGCTATGAAAAGCCCCTCAGAGATCCCGGCCCCAGCAGCCCCGCCCACTGGGTTTGGGGGCCAGCCTTAGGGACAGTGAGGTTTTCTTCGGAGGCACAATGTGTTCTCAGCAAACCCTAGGAAGACCCTGGGGACCCTCAGCAGCCCTGGGAGCGTCCCTGTCACCCAGAGAATATTGCAGGGGAACAAGCCCTCCTCTCTTTAAAGCTGTGAAGGAGCCCTGCCTGCCCACAGAAAGCATTTTAGAGTCACCACTCACCCGCCAGGTGCCCCCCATCCCCATCCCACAGAGCAGGGCATTTTCGTCCAAAGCTCCTCCCGGGAAAGCGAGATCCCACCTGATTCCAAGACAGGACGGGAGTTGCACACACACACATATCCTGGTGGCCAGTGGAATGGCTGGCTGGTCAAGGGCAGGCTGGCTGTGTCCTCACTGTGATGGTCCGCTTCAGCCAGCTGTGGCCATGAGGGAACGTCAATGTTACAAATTTCCAAGATAAGCCAGAAGGGAGGCATTTCATGTAAACTATCCTCATTTGAAAATGTTGGCAGACAAAAAAAACACACTATGCAAGCCAAACAGCACACTATGGGACTGTGAGTTTATAACCCCCTAAGACTGTGGTCGGCAAACTGTGGCTCGCGAGCCACATGCGGCTCTTTGGCCCCTTGAGTGTGGCTCTTCCACAAAATACCACGTGCGGGTGCACACGTACAGTGCGATTGAAACTTCGTGGCCCATGCGCAGAAGTCGGTTTTCGGCCTGGGCAAGTCTATTTTGAAGAAGTACTGTTGATATTTGGCTCAGTTGATTAATGAATTTGCCGACCACTGGCCTAAGACAACCATACCTGCCTCTTTTAATGGCAGACCAGAGAGTGCAGCCACCTCTTGTTCTCGGGAGGCCAGGTCGTCATTCCCAAATGCTGCCACATCCCCTCTTCAGAAATGAGATACGCAGAGCTCCAATCACATTCCTGTAAGCAACTTCATGGATGCAAATGGTGTTTTTAAAGTGGAATTTTGGAAACAGTCATTTGAAGCTCAAGTCTGGTGGTCATGTAGGTGACCAAGCCCAGAAGAGGGAAGAGGGTGGACTTTGAAGTGACAAGACCGATTTGCCTGAGAGTCACCTGAGATTCAGCCGAACCTGGCTGTAAATATCTGTTCCATTCGTATACCAGCACCTTTACTTTTTAGCCTGTTTACACTTGAATATGTAATAGATGGTTATTGATGCCTTCAGTATTACTCCTGAGCTTCCAGGCTTGGGGAAGCTAAGGAAGATTCCTGGTTCTCTGTCAGTTTGAGGGCTTGTGGCACCTGCATAGGCCCACCTCTGGCTCTCCTTGAGTGTGGCCAACTCACTTCTGCAGCCATTCCCTTGCCTGGAGATGCTCAGCCAGGGGGCTCCAGGCACACCTGGCAGGGCCGCTCTCTGCATTGCTGGAAAGTACCAGAGTCCCCAGCTCCGGCCCTGCCCTCTGCTTCCTCCTGCTCTGGGTCCCACCTTGCCTGGTGCATTTATTAAAAACCGTATCACTGGGCCCTCCTCCAGAACGGTTGCCTCAAGCACCCAAGGGACCCTTATGCTTTGTAAGTTCGGAGGCTGGGAAAGGTATGTGCCTAGTGGGAAGCACTTGGGAGCTATTTTACCTTTAAAAACAGCTTTGACATAATTAACATGCTACAATGCCCATCTTTTAAAGTGTGCAATGAGTTTTTATTTTTTTAAACTTTATTTCTCATTAATAGCTCTTAAGGAATTTTATTGATTTTAGAGAGAAAGGGAGAGGGAGAAATAGAAACATCAATGATGAGAATCATTGATCAACTATCTCCTGCACGCGTCCCCCGTGCCCCACCCCCTCCCCCGGCACTGGGGACCGAGCCCACAACCCAGGCATGTCATGTGCCCTTGGCTGGAATCAAACCTGGGACCCTTCAGCCCGCAAACCGGCACTCTATCCACTGAGCCAAAATGGCTAGGGCAATTGAATGCTTTTTAATTTGTTCATAAGTCAATCAACAATATTCTGGAAGTGTTTAAAACTATACTGTCAGGCCTGGCCAGCGTGGCTCAATGGTTGAGCATCAACCTATGAACCAAGAGGTGGCAGTTCTTGCTCCACCCGGTTTGGCTCAGTGGATAGAGCGTCAGCCTGCAGACTGAAAGTTCCCAGGTTCGATTTCGGTCAAGGGCAAATGCCCAGGTTGCAGGCTCAATCCTCAGTGTGGGGCCTGCAGGAGGCAGCGGATCAGTGATTCTTTCTCATCATTGATGTTTCTCTCTCTCTCTCCCTCTCCCTTCCTCTCTGAAATCAATAAAAATACATTAAAAAAAAAAAAAAAAGAGGTGGCAGTTCTATTCCCCAGGTAAGGGCACATGCCTGGGTTGTGGGCTTGATCCCCAGAGAAGGATATGCAGGAGGCAGCGATCGATGATGTTTCTCTCTCTCTCTATCCCTCTCTCTTTAAAACTCAATAAAAACATATTTTAAAAAGTAAATAGAACTATACTGTCAGGGCCACCCCCACCCCAGAAATTCTGACACTGGGCCCAGGAATCTGGGGGTGCTTGTCTTTTCAGAGCCTCCAGGAGGCTCTGCTGTGTAGCCAGCCGTGGGACCAGCCTTGAGCAGGGACTCTCCGTGCGGAAAAGGGAACATTTTGCCTTATCTATAGACAGTTTGGTTGTCACACCTGCATCTACTGGGTAGGGACTAGGATGCTGGCTGACATCCCACAGTGCACAGGATGCCCACATGGTAGTGATCCAGCACCAATGTCTACAGGAACCTCAGATCCCTTCTAGCCTAATGTGACCCCCTGGGACCTCCAGGCTCAGCCCACAT